GGTAGGAGTTAGCATTTAATTAGGGGCGTTCCGATCATCCTACACATCATGTTGTCAGGTTTAGTCCCTTTTAATCCATCCAACTAAATAGGGGTGACTAAAATTTAGCAGTTGCTTTAGCGGGCTAAAATTTAGTAGCTTCAATCTAAACAGGCCCATAGCTCACTCACAGAACCTGCCAGGCTACCGATCGAAATGAGGCATTGTTTAGTTCTAGAGTGTAAAGTTTTGAGATATCACATCGGGTGTCACATGAAGTATCGCATAGGGTGTTTGGATACTAATAAAAAAACAAATTACAGAATCCGTCAATAAACCACGAGACGAATTTATTAAGCCTAATTAATCCATCATTAGCACATGTGTTACTTTAACACTTTATTGTCAAATCATAGACTAATTAGACTTAAAAGATTCGTCTCGTAAAGTTGTCACAATCTGTACAATTAGTTATTTTTAGTCTATATTTAATACTTTATTCATCGTAAAGGTGTCACAATCTGTACAATTAGTTATTTTTAGTCTATATTTAATACTTTATTCATATGTCCAAATATTCGATGAGATATGGTGTAAACTTTGAAGGAGGAACTAAACGAGGCCTGAGCCAAATCCCATTGCGTTTTCGCGGTGGCTCCTGACTACACAAACTTGGTGAGCATACACACCCACACATATGGTGCATTGGTGTGTGAGTAAATGAAATGCTATCCTTCAAAGTATTAGCAAGTCCTTCACGGTTTCACCTCAAGAAGAATAAACTGTAATTTAGTTAATACACTGGTTGGATTGACCCGGGTCCAGTTTTTGGTTGGATCTCCGGGCCAGGATGGGTGTAGTAACTAAGGTTGCACTTGCACATTGCATACCACTGCATTCCTCAATAGTTGGATAGCTTGGTGCTAACATGGACAGGATACTAGAGATAAGCACACAGGTTAGCTAGTATGCTGACCGTAGGAAGATTGGACCTCGTATAAAGTAACCTTATACAATTTCATATACTACATTTTCATTGTATATGTTATCTAAAATTTCCTCAAAACCAAAATAAAATGTAAAAAAAATAACAATAGAAAAGAGATGATGAGTTCTAATTAGTTCGTTAACAATGAACTTGTGTTGTCACCAATGAGAATATTTTTTATTGAAATATTGAACATTAGATTGAGTAATAAAATGACCAACTTTTGTGTTTACCACAATACAGATAGGGTCTCTTCCTTTTATCATCCTTCATTCTTTACTAGATGAATATCCGTGCGTTGCTATGGGACAACCATTATTATGTAAAAACAATTTATCTAAATAGTACTTCCTTTGTCTAAATTGTAAAATGTTTTGGCTTTTTTAGATACATTGCTTTTACTATGTATCTAGACAGTGTATATTGAACTACATAACTAGAACCATATATCTAAAAAACATCTTATAGTTTAAAATGGAGGGAGTAAATATTAAAGAATCAACTCAACCATTTATTAAACCATCGCACCTGTGCAAATGTTTATATTCATTTTTCTTCCACAGCCCCAGTTGAGTAGTAAAAGTTCACTTAAAGATACAAGTTAAAAATGGGGGAAACTAAAAAATGGATCCTAGCCATAGTAAAAATCTACAAATCATTTTCAAAAAGAAAACTACAAAACAGTTCCCATGTATAATTAACTGGAGCTGCGTAACTTTTAGCATAAGGGAAATAAGAAAAAATAATAATCCATTTAAGAGTGATGCATTTGAATCCACAAGTGGAGCTATGGAAGATGAAAGTTAGCTATGCATTACAAACTTGTTACTTTCCCTAATGTGATTAATTACATTCAGAATCGTATAAGAAAAGAGACATAGGAATAAGTAGGATAGGAAACAACCTCAAGGCATCCAGCGCCATGCACTCTCACCCTCTTCCACCTCATGGCATGTCTTCCTCAATATTCCATTGCAAAGTCAGTACATCATTGCATCAACTTAAGATTAGCTATGACTAAAAAAGCATTCAAGTTCATGAAACCAGGCTTGCTGTTTCTTGTGGAACGCTAGGCTAGAGACATATAGGAAACTTTTGGAGGGTTCAAACTCTGCTTATTGAATTTTCAGCGAAGTTTATCGGTGACAGAACAAATGAGCTATTAGAAACCAGGAGTGTTGTAACCATAGGAAAATAACATTCAAACCATAATGCTTTGGTAGCTTGAATGCTTGATCATCAGAGCTTGCAACTAATTCAGCCCAATTGTCAGTTTCAAGTGTGCATTCATTTGCTGCTGCGCAACTATTTTGAACCTGAAAATATTAAACCGATACATGTCAGCTTATTACTGATAGTTACTGTACACACACGATGATGCGGGGCGTGGACAAAAAACTCGTAACTCGCTAGCTCGCTAGACTCACTCGTTAGTAGCTCGGCTCGAGCTCGGCTCGTTTGAATTTTTAAACAAGCTGGGCCAGCACTTTAGCTCGATCCAGCTCGCGAGCCGCTCGCGAGCCAAAATGAGCCAAGGTAAATAAGATGACAACAACTTAAATCAGGCCATATATGCCATGGCCCATTGGCCCAATATGATAAAACCCTAGCCCCCAACTCCCACGGTCCCACCCTTGGGCCCTAGACTTCCCCCATCCGTCGTTCCGCGCAGGCCTAGCCGCAAGCGCAAGCACACTCGGCTGTTCCCCTCTGAGCCGCCGCACGTGGCACACGCGTAAGTCGCCCGGCGCCTGCTGCTCACTAGGGCCTTGCAATTGCAACTTTGCTTACTCCCTTGCAAGCCAACGCACAGCAACAAGCATTAGCTTTTGTTTTTTTTCCTTGATTTTCCCAAACCAGCATCAAATCATCCATCTTCTTATTTATTTTGCTTTTCCCAAATTAGCACTCGTCTCTATCTTTTGTTGTATGAATAACCTCAACAGGAAAAAAAAATTAAGTTAGCTCGCGAGCCAAACGAGCCAGCTCGAGCTACCAAGCGAGCCGAGCCGAGTTGAGCTTCTAGCTCGTTAGTATAACGAGCCGAGCCGAGCTTGATAATGAGCCGAGCTGGCTCGATATCCAGCCCATGCCCACTTTCAGCTGGACATAGATTGGCACAGGAAAATATTTGATTAGTTTTATTTCATGAATTGTAAGGTCATCTAAGTGGAATGCTAATTGCTAAGCAATATCATAAATTATTAACTATGAAATGCTGACAAAAAGATGTGTCCCTTGTTTCAATTCTTGTTGAATTACTGATTTTATTTAATCAGTTTAGTTGGTATATTACGATTATGCAAGGAGAAATGCCAAGAAAGGCCATGTATCATTGGAAGAAATGTGTGCCCTCTGTTTCAGTTCTCAGAAAAAAAAAGAATGTTCCAACCACCACCATCTAGTAGTATATCAAATGTTGCAGAGTTGTAACTGTTGTGTATACCATATGTAATCTCAGGCATATAGAAAAATCAGATGAACAAATTAAATGTGAATGCACGACTGGGGAAAAAGTCCTAATTAGAATTAATTCTAATGCCATTCTACACTATTGGAAACTTAATACAATGAAGAATTCTTTATTACTTTTCAGAAGAAGGAATCTCTCAGTGCTATATATCTGACAGGGAAGTACAGAACTTTAGATAGCTAATCCTATTTAATTGTATATATAACCTCATTGCAGTAGACTTGCAAGCACACAGGACAGACGTATCTCTCGCTCTTCTTGTCCATCACTGCAGCACTCCAGCTCTTTATCCATACTCCTATGTTTGATTGACCTGGTTACCAGACGCCTACACATTCCCTTCTTCCAGATTTGGATCCAAAATTTGTCCTTATTTGAACCTAGGTGTGGTTAATTGGCCAGTAATTAAAATATGCATTGGAACACCACGAGTTCACATGGGCAAATCATCAAGCACACAGTGATCGCCACATGAGTTCAGAAAGGCAAATCATCAAGCACAAGGCCTACATACCTGGTGAATGAGGCACTGGGACGGGACAGAATTCAACTGGATCAGCTGAATAATTGACTTGCCTGTGCCATGTCCACACCAATCTCACAATCTTGTTGCTGCTAAGGCACGAGGGTGGCATACAATGAAAGTCGGCCTACTGCCATTACGCCGACAGCCACGCCTGAGGGCTGGGAGGAGGCTGGGCAATACGAATGGAAAGGAAGGCAGACGAACCCTACACACTGTTCCCACGCCCAAGCAATGCCTGAACCGCTGATTGTTGTAGCCGAGTGTGTCCGCCGGGTCGTGGAGAACCACACGGTGTCCACATCATTAAACAACCACCTCTCGCCCCATGCTCGGCCAGATCTACGGTGGCGCGGGGAGCATGCATGGGATAAGGTCTCTCGCCCCCACACCGGTCTGATCTACAGTGGTGTGACATGGGCACGGGAGGAGGACGGTGGTGCGCAGGACGGGCTTGGGAAGAGGACTGTCCCCCTCTCCCCTCCCAAAACCGGGGCTGATCTACGTCGGCGCGGGATGGCCATGGGAGGGGAACGACGTCGACACTCGACACATGGGCAGAGGGTGAAAGGGGATCCATAGTGGGAGGCCGGAGGAGCAAACAGGTTTCCTAACCACAGCTAGGAGCCGCGCAGGCAGGACACCGGGGCATACCAGCTGGGAACGGCACAGCGGGCGCTAGGTTGGCGGTGACGGATGGAGAGGAGGTGGTGGTTGCAGAGGGCCGTAGGGAAGTGCCAGACGACGTGGGTGACGTGAGGCTGGGCCACATGTCAGCCGGAGGGAGGCTATCGCGCAGCAGCTTCACCACGGTCTGTGAACGGGTCCAGTTTACTCTTTTAGGAGTAGAGAATCAACCTAGGGCCTCCGCTATGTCAGGACAGGTTAGTTGTAGAAAATTTGCTAGGCCGTTTTGCTATTGGCAGCTATTTGGGTAGTACCTCTCCAAAGTAGTGTTTGTGCAACAATATAGAGGTAATTTTTACAATTTCATACATAAGGATACAAGAAGTTATCAAGGATAACTTGTAGCTCACCTATGCAGCATAAGCCTCATTTGCTAGGGAACGAAGGAACCTCATAAGTGGTTTCTTTGCTCCAGAAAGCTTCACATTAGAATCTTCCCCATCTTTATTGTGTGTGCTTTCTTGGACCATGTGAGCTCTCTTCACAAGCTTTCGCAGTTCCTATTGACAAAATGTTAGAGCAACTGAAGAACCTCAAACATTGAGCCAGAACAAATGCAGTTGACTTAGTTGTTTTAGTAGGTTTAGGTGTGCATGAGCATCCCAAATGCCTCAATAGGTATTCATGAGAAAGTTTAGTTTTAGAGTTCGATGCAAACACCAGTCTTACATGTTGGATGCATTAAGCTTCAGCACTAGAAGTGCTCATCTTTGACATACTCAAAGCACAGCCAATAAGAAGGCTCAAGAAGAAAAGAACACAAGTATATGGTCTCACTTACCACAGCACCAAGAAATATACAACCAGCATTACACGTAGTTTAATTAATACTAAATTGCAACACGAACACTATTATTACTGGATTCATGCAGAACAATGTTAAAGATCACAATGCTACTAACCATGCTTCCCATATGGCCATATGGGATCATAGTAACCATGTTGCATAATCTGAAGGGATCAAGAGGGTGAGCAAAAAGTTTATTGTTGCTTTAAGTTCTGAGAGCTGAGATGTTACATCAGAATAAGCATCGTGTTCTTAAACATCTTGAAAACATAGCAATCATCTACAATATAGTATGAAATAACAACATTCATGTTTCAGTAATTTACTTTCTTACAATTAGTATACTTAACCTGAACTAGGATATACACTTGTTCCTTAACTGTTTCTATAGACCTAACATCAGTTTTGCTCAGTGACTGAGGTTGTTAGTCACAATTCATAGTTACACTCGCTACATTGAATCATGCATGACTCTATTACAAATGATAACACACAATGCCAATAATGTCAGTGACATGCACCAACATAATAGAGATGCAAACTTTGGTTAAATAACAACAAAAGACTTTCAGAAAGCCATACAACAAGGCTCGAAATTTAGATTGCTCATCAAGGTTTGAAATTTGTGGCACGGGTAAGAAATCTAGCATGCATTTACTTATTAGGCTACTTGGCAATAGCCAATAAGGACAAAACAATCACTCAGGCAATTAAACACGCTTAACATAGATTATTATTGTGGACCCTTATAGGGAAAAACAATACCAAATGAGGCTTCATGGTTCCAGATTAGCTTTCATGATCGGAAAATATATTACAAGTCTGAGTCCTTTAGACATTGAGTACTTTATTGTTTAGATCCTTAGTTGAGATCTTTGTGTCGGTTAAGATGAGCCTTCCCTTTAAAGTAACATGCATTATACTTCCATAAAGCAATCAAGAAAGAATGAAGTCTCCATCCCAGTGTAAGTCTAGCCCTCTCTAGAAACATTACTGAAGATCTTTCCATCCATACGAACTGGCTACCTTTTGCACCAAAGTTGCCCCAATGTGAACCAGCATTTGAATCACCTATTTTCTTTGTTTCAGCAATAGCTTTCTGTTTGGATAAAGGTCAATTTCATTTCAGTTATCAATTTTCCATACGTTTTGCGTGAAAGGATGAACAGGCCAATATAACTGAGGGCCTGAAGACCTGAACAAAATCCATGCAAGAAATTTAAAACAGGTAAGGACTCCTTAGACTCCTGCTCTTTGAGCGGAAGAAACTACGTAGTTCCTGATTTCCTGAGTGCACTCAATATTTTCTCATTTTTTAACCAGAATCTGCCTGTAATACTATACTTTATCTCTCTACTTCAACAAGACAACAGTAATTTTACCATTTCATTCAAGGGAAAATGATCAATGGTCTGTTTCTTAAACTGCTTTTGCACAAAAAAAAAGGTTGGATTCTGGCTTGTTAACCTAATTTCAGTCAAGTATTTTGGACAAACCATACTAGACTACCAGCAAATAAGAGGCATAGAAAAGTGGTGCAAGGAACAATTAGAGAAACATGTTTGGAAAATGTTTTATAACTTTATATTTTGAGTGGGCATGCCTATTAGTATTAGGTTATAGCAGTCCTGACCTGGGGCTCAAATAATTACTTCCAGTAAAGCTTTTCAAGACCTTAGAAGACAAAATTAAGAAAGGATGACACGAGATCAATTAAGGTGCAGCCCAGAAAAACCAGGTGCTATGAAAAAACAAGTCAGCCATTATTATTAATGTATCAATTCATTATTAATCTCTTCTCTGCCGATTCAATGCATGGATGAACATTCTGATCAAATTTTCAAATCAAATATCAAATGTAAGTGCAGACAATACCTGACGATCAAATTCAACACTATGGACAGAGTAAACTTCATTAGTAACTGAAATGTCTTTGCGAAGGAGGCCTTCAAACCATCTATCTGCAATTTTCATATACTCTTGATTGTCCTATTGAAATGCTGAACGGTTAGTTCAGTGTTTGCTAGGTCTTCATCATTCTAGTTATGTCAACCAAAAAAAGCTACCTCTTCTTCATCAGGTAGGTCCTCCACTTCCTCCTCTTCCACCAACAATGTACCTTCACTAAGTAAGGTATGTAACTTGCTCTCATCTCCATCCTTGGAAGCCTGTATTAGAGTATCCATCAATTCTGGTTGTGCATTGCGCAGAAGTCTTCCTGGTCAAAATGGATATAACATAAAATGAAAAGGTAATATACGACAAACATAGCTCAGCAATTCTTTACTGGCTCTCTATTTCTCAAAACCTTACTTCTTTACTACTTTTGCATCCATGTATCAACACATGTTAGGTAAATTATGTTATATAATAATTATAAATACCAAAACCCTATTGCCATTGAAGAGCTTAAAAACACTTATAAATCAATCTCTATAAATGTCATGGATCAACAAATTCCATTACTGAACCAAGCAAGCCCTTGAAGAACACAATAATTCGGCATAAGAAAATGCTGGTAGTACATGCTCGGAGAAACAGACGGACCGATGTAATTGAACTGTCTCCTCTTTCCTTCCCGCACATCCGGCCCAAATTTCTGAGAAGCAAGAATTACACGTGAATGTCTGTCACCAATCCGGTGATCCACCACAATCTCGTCGAGGAAACGAACGGATGTACGAACCTTGACGAGCATGAGCGCATCGAACACCTCGCGTTCCAGCGACGCGGCACTGAGGATGCGCTTGATCTGAGGCGGGGAGAAGTTGGCGAGGTTCATTCCCCACTTCACGGCGCGGCGGGCCTCCCGCTTCAGTTCGTTGCGGCTCTTCTTGAAGGAAACCGCGGCGGCGCCGCCGTCGCCGGCGTCTGGATCGTCGGTGTCCTCGGCATCGGAGGGCAAGGGGCGGCCTGTGGGTCGGAGGGCGCGCGGGTGGCGGAGGCCAGGTAAGGGGGCCGCGAGTGAGGACAGGAGGCGGGCCTCCTTGAGGAAGAGGAGCGAACGACGTAGCGGCACGGCGGCGGCGGCGGCGGCGCGTGCGCCATGGCGAAGGTTACAGGATTACAAGTTTTTTTGAGAAATTTACAGGATTACAGGATTACAAGTGCTCGACGGGTGGGGGTGCTTGGGCGACGGCGAAGACGCGAGGTTGGGCCAGGAGCCCAGGAGGAATGCAGGTCTGGCTGTCTCTAGACGGTGGAAAACTGGAAATGGATTTGCACAATCCAAAATCCGAATGAAATGAACGGACTTAGATGGCTGGATCTTGGGCCTGCTTGTTCAATGCCAATTTTTGCCGAGCCAATTTTAACACAAGCCAAAATATGGGTATACCAATATTAAGGCAAGCCAGTATTTTAGTAAAGTAATGAAGGCTGGTGTTTGATTTGCTACCAACAAGAGAGAAAAATATTATCTTACCAAAATTTTGAAAAGTATTGCCAAAACTTTGGCAACCAACCAATTGTGTGTCAAATCTTTTGAACTTGGCCATATTTTGGCTTGGTAAAGATTGGCTTAGAATAGAGCAGGCCCCCTTGTAAGGATCCTTTGGTTATCCACCACCGCAAGATCCCAAGTGCGTTGGATGGATTTTGATAATCTCTGTTAAACGGGAAATCGTCCCGTACCATTTTGATTTTTGAGCACTTGAAGGAGAGTGTGCGGTGGTGGAGGAAGGGGACTTCACAAGGATTGGAAGCGGTGGGATAAGAAGAAGGGTCCAGACTTTTTTGAAAAAAGTATTATTTTCTTCTAGTAATAAATTAGCATAAGCTGTAGCCTCAGCTAAATTTCAGCGAACGGACAGGGCCGATATCTAATGTCCAATGGTCTTTGTTGGACACGCAGAAACAGGTGCCTGGCTTTCTGGCCACGAACACATGCAGCAGAGCAGAGCAGAGCGGACTCGAGGAGCAGCTGAGCGGTGATATATAGCAGGAGCGCCGCCCCCATCGACGCTCTGACACGAACGGCGCCGGCGAGACCACGAGGGGCTGCGATGCGCCGCTGGGTAGATGGGCGTGAGGGACGTGAGCGAGGAGCAGGAGCCGGAGTATGGGCGGATCCGATGGCAGCGTGCCGGAGGATGGGGATGGATTTGGGATTTCTGCAGAGGTCCTTTACGTTCGAATAGCGAGACAATGGCGGAGACGGAAGGGTTCGGCGAGCAGCGCAGCGCACCAAGGATACAGTGCCGGTGCGCAGATACGATGCGATATCGCAAGTTTTGATTGGAAGGCTGGCTGCTAAAACGAAATGGCCACGAAAAAACAAAGCAGAAAGAGCGACTAGCAAACACTATTAAGGTACTTCCGCCCCATCGACGTCCATAAAAACCACGAGGGGCTACGCCGCTTATAGAGGGACGTAAAAGAATACAATTATAGAACAGTGTTATGGTTTAGTATCTTAAGTTTATCAATAATAGATAAAAAGATATCAACATTTATGATATCAAATGAATATCATTAGATTAATTACGAAATATATTTTCATAATAAATTATTTTAGTATCGTATTCGATCAATAATAAATAAAAAAGAAATTTCATATATCAAATGAATATTAGCCGAATTACGAAATATATTTTACCGATAAATTATTTTGCAACTCTCATAGTCGCATTATTTCCTTGAAGGAGAGCAGACAGTAGCAGCTACAGTGAATTGGATTGGATAGGGGCGCCCAGAACTCCCAGTGAACAAAATAAGCCATAAACAATCCAATTCACTGAGCGCCCCAATCCAATCCAAACCAAAGAGTAGTTGCATACATTCGATTCATCCTTTTGGCACGCCAAGTTCCCCACAAGTAAGTATAACAAGAAAAGAAATTCCTAATGAACCTTCTTTGGTCTCCAGGGACAGGGGATGATTCATGTGAAGCAAATCCAGGAATCCTTACCATCATCACCCCTCAAAGGTAGTTTTGTACGTTGCAACGATTGCCCAGGTTAAATAGAGATACTATACATACTATTTGATGATGCTTCAGCAAATTAAAAACCAACTTTATTTTTTGCATGTGCAGTTGCCAGTTGTTCATATAGATATATCAATCTACTGAATTACTCAAAAACAATAGATTCTCATATGCATACTTCAACGATCAATCCAATCCTTGAACAGAAGCATCATGTACAGGGGGACATTCAGAGCGGCAATGATAACAATCGATTGAATGACACGGAACAGCCGTTGGAGCACCTTCCTTACTCTCGATTTGCTACCGCGGGCCAACTTCCCTCCATCTTCTGATGTCATCTCAGAACCCATGTCGACATGAATAGATGATGAATCAGGCTCCAATTGGTGTTTTCCTGCTGTTGCCCTTGCAACAACACTTCCCCTGCAATTACGTTGCAAAAATCATATCATACAATACATGCAGTTAAAGGAACGAATGAAATCATTCAGTTGTGTGATTAAGTATCTATAACCATCATCCAAGAAGCACATACCGCCCTGTAGATCTGGAGTCTGAGCTAGCACTTGGGGTCTTTGCCACAGCCTTTTTAACGAGGTGCATGGATCCTTCCGCATCAAAAATCATATCATATTCACCATCTTCCTCGTCATCTTTTTCCTTGGTTCTTGAAAGCAGTTCGGCACCCACCGACCTCATGAAGCTCACGAATGTGTTCATGTAAGGAAGAGAACTGAGACCATTTGTTGGCCAAAATACTAGGAGAAGGATGGTCACTACAAACTGGCAGATATACCTGTACAAACAGTTCAAGCAACAATGATGTATAGTTCAATTGTAGATCTTGTCACTAATAAATAAATACAAGTATAGAACAGGAAGAAGGTGTTGTAACCATTACCAGACATAAACATGGGTTTGTTTAGGCAGAAAACAAAGGTTTGTCACAACCTCGTGTTCCGGATCAGTTGAATTTTGTGACACCTTGGGTCCAGCAGATAGCAGCATAAAAGATGGATAGAGATTTCCTTGCTGCCAACTTATTGTCCCCAGCGTATGCTGTGGCATTAAAAGTTGGGTTCCATTAGATGCAAAACTTGGAACATGTGGCAACAGAAAGCTACAATTCTTTTACCTCTGTAACTGGCCCAAAAGGAGTGGAGTGGACAACCGTGCATTGGTCATGATCATGGCCTGAGAGCACAAGGACCTACAGAGGGATTAGCTGGATTAAAAGACACATAAGTTAATCTAAATCTCTTCAAACAAAAGCTTACCGGCTTCAACAAGTTTAGCAAAAGGTCAGAAGTCTCTTTAGTTAGATAATTTTGGTAGCTGCAACAAAATGGTTGCCTTATGTCAGTCCATATATATGGCTTTGCCAACAGTAGTTTTTGAACTGGTATGACCACTGATCAGAAGTGATTTTACAGAAAATGCATCAGGGAAAACCAGACTGTAAAAATTTGAGATACCACTAATCACAGGCAATTCTTCAAAATAGAACAGGATAGACAAGTTCAGTCCAAAATTAAATCACAAGTCAAGGTAACAATCATTGTTTTCCAAGTCAAATGATATTTATGGTGTAAATACAAAATTAGCTGAAACATGAAAGTAGCAAAGCAGTAGAGTGTGAGGAAGAACATACGTGATTCCTTGGTCTAAGGCAGCATAAGACACCCTCTGGAACAGAATAAAAACAATCAGCAAACTATTCATGTGATTGACTGAATTGTTTATTATGTCAGAACTTGTAGAATATTAAAAACAAATAAAGTGGAGGAATGATGCTACATATGAAAAAAAGAATAATTCTGGCAAAAAAAAACATGGTACAGTGTCTGCCCTTATGGCCGAAATGCGCATATGCAAGTTTGACGAATTACTTTTCATAGCAGAGAATAAACACGTTTTTTGGTAACAAGAAAAGAATACCTGATTTATAATAGGTGAAGAACGATGTGGGCCACAAGGAGAGTTATCAGGTCGGTATAGTGGAATATGCGTTAGTAGAACCTTTGGGTTCGATGCATTACCTTAAAGAGAAGAAAAAAAATAGTTAAGACTGAGAGTAAGTGATAGCATCTGTAGATAATGTGTGATCATATGTATAAGGCCATACCTGGAGATAGAGTTTTAATGAACTCCCAAGAGGAAGACCTTTCTTTGCTTTTTTTAACTCCTGCTAGAAAGATGGTAGGTTGATAAGAGTTTTTAGCTGCAGAAAGCAGATGCATCGCAGGAAAATCGTGGACAACTTGACATCATTAGTCATCAAGAAAAACAATCAAATCTAAAGTATGAATCCAATGTTTGTACTAGGATTGCTAATTTCTTTAATGCTGTAATGCACAGGTGGAGGTGAAGAAACATACCATCAAGTGTTTGGGCATCAACAACAACAAAGCCCACCTTCCCAGAAGAAAATTGATAATTTCTTGATCCAAATTCTTTTTCATACCGACTGAGCACCTACATGAAAAATAAATAAATATTCTGAACACTACATAGTTATAGAAATGCACAAATCATAACTAGAATTTAGATATATGCATTGATTTGGCTAAGGTGTACACTTTATGGTCTGTAAACTTAAATTCGGTAAATTGTTAAACTTCAGATTACAATGAGAAGTTTGTTATATGTCGAAATAGCCTCTTTGTAATATGGCAAAGCCATGAAGGACCAACCAGCTGAGAGAAAAAACAGTGATAGGGTTCAGCAGGGTGCTACAAACATCTCTTTGCAAAGGTTAAAAACACACCAAGAGGGGCCACTTGCAGCAATTAGCAAAGCAATGATCTAGGTTCAAAATACGTTGCAAACTTCAGTTCTGGCTGCACTTGGTGAAAAAGTACAAATCATGGAAGGGGTGTCACCCAGAGTTTCAGCAACAGGGACCAAGTCTGGGTAGTCCCTAGATGAGAAGAAACTACTTAGAATCTTAATGGAAAGGAAGCCTAACTTTGTCTACAAGTGTATGGCTGCTAAAATAAAATACCTTTGGAAATAAATAACCGCATAAGATTACAGAAAGTAGTAAATGGAAACCTCGCAGGGGAGAGGGGCAACTGTGGTTAATCACCTCAGGATGAACTGAATGAAATGCTGAGTAACCAATATCATGATTTCCTGAAAGGTAGTAGATAGGGATCTCTGGCTTTGTTATTTGTTCATTCAGGCTGAATATATGTTTAAATCGAAACAATGATTCCTGCCACCTGAAAGGTTTGGAACACAGATTAGGGAAAGAATACAAAGTTAAATGCCGAACAATTTGATCATTATGTCATGGAATAAGTTCTGAGTAATGTATATCGCTAAAATAACTAATGAAGAAAAGGGTATAGGATAAAATAGAGAGGTGGTTACACAATAAAGGTAATATGGAACTGTTGTAAGGATAAATTGCATCCGCCAAAAAGGTTGTGTGTATATCTTTTGCATTCTAACAATAGTCCCAATCATCACAGGACAACTTAGTATTAGATAGAATGTTGATAAGTGACTTCGTGAACCAATTAAAAGATGAATTAGAAATCAGTATCCGTGCCTTACTCTTCATCGGACATGTAAGGGCCTCCATCAAAGTGATCACCAAGAAATAAGACCACATCAGGTTTGAATGGCAGTATGGCAGACTGGAAGGACCTTCTCATGTTCAAATCCGTGTAAAACTCAGCAGCTTGGAGAGCAACTGAGCTCGATGGAAGACCAATGGAGGTGCTGTCCATAAGCTGCATCCAAAGGAAAATCTTTTTCAGGAAGGAGCAACATATTCAAAACAATTTTTGCATACTATTACTGGTTTAACAGTAAAATTGCCCAAAATAATGTTAGAAGGGGAACTCGCCTGTGGATCAGCAACAACAGCAACCTTGACATGGTTATTCTGTCCAAGAAAAGTTGAAGGGGTAAATACGATTGTAAGATAACAATGTTGTGCAAAATGGTTACTTACTGGTCGACTCAAATTCAGTTTTAAGGAATAACATGCCCGTGCAAGATAACAAAGTTTTCATGCA